ATCAGTCCTCCAGACCGAACACCAACAGCCACCATGTTCAAGTCCCTGCTCCTCGTCTTCGCCGTCCTGGCTGTGGCCTCGGCCCAGTACATCGCATCACCCTACAGCACCTACAGCGCCGGCGCCTACCCCGCCTACTCTGGTGTCAGCGCCTACTCTGCCTACCCCGCCTACTCCGGAGTCAGCACCTACGGCGCCTACCCCTACGCCTACTCCGGCCTTGGCTACGGCTCTTCCTACCTGTACCGTTAATTTATCAGTAAGTGTGTCTGCCTTTTCTTATTCAACACCGAAACACTTGAGCTGAAGAAAAAGTGTTTTTAAAGTATAACTTCCTTTTCTATTCTAGTGTCCCTGCAGAGGATATCCGACTGACCCAGCACTCCTCCATCTGGAAGCGACCGTTGGGCAACAAAGACTTTCAAGACTTTCGGAGCCACATTCATGTCACAAAATATGAAATAAATAGTTTGCAAGTTTTCTAAATCACTGCAAATATCTTTTTACTAACAACATAAACCCCAACCTCTCTGCACTGTAAAAAGTTTCTGGCTTTTTACAAGAAATATGTTGCGGAAGAAAAAATCAGAACGTTTCTCTTAACAGAATATACGTGAAATTGTTCACGACATTTTCCTTAATGGACGAATGAGTTGCACAAGATGACACTGAGATAAAAATAAACAATATTCTCAAGTTTGTCTCTACAAATTTCCCTTGTCCCACAACTATCTGGAAAACTATCACATGTCACAAGCGAGTTAAAATTTTAATGGTGTGATGTGTGATACGTTTCATTTGCTACTGAATCAATGAGCTCTGTGTGTGATCATTTGCCAAAACCGTTTGGACACACACCTTAGGAGATCTTGAAGCAAATTATCAACTCCGGTCTTTACGCGGTCGCACTGTAAAATGTAGAGTGACCTTTCTTTCCCGAATGGAGCGACGCATCAGCTTCATCGCTCTGTTAGAGTGATTTTTGCGAAATGACTCAAAATGAGTCTTATTCGTAACCAAAAATGTCGTGAAAAGTCACTCCAAACGAGCGATTTAATTAATATCGTTCCCCCAAGAGTCGTCAAATTGGATTCACAATGTCGCTTTATTGGCTGAGCGATAGCGAAGCCTATTACTCCAGTGATGATCAAAAAGTTTCGCGTCTGTCTGTCTGTCTGTGTGTCTGTCTGTCTGTCATCACGATAACTGGAGAACGAATTGAGTTAGCGACCTGGGATTTTTAGGGTCGTTTTGTGTCATAAAAAGACAGATCAAGTTCGAAGAAGAGCATTCAAGCTCAAAAATTGGATTTTTAAAAAATCAAAAACCACAGGTTTCCAAAATGACGATTTTTAAAAATATTTTTCTAACTTGTC